AGGATTTGTTGCCACTCACGTTTCCAGAGAAGAAGAGACACTTAGACTTCAGTCTGTGTGTTGGTCTTCCAGAGAATGTTTGATTCAGTAGAGGGCGGGTTTATCCAGAACTCGGACGGAGTGGAATGATGTAGCCGCTGGTTGCAACTCAGTTTTCCTGTGGTACTTGAACGGGTCATGGTAAAGATGACTTCCTTACTCAGAGAGATCTCAATGTGCTCAAAGGTGGCTGGATCCAAACCTCCTGTTTGGAATCCGTCGCTCAGTGTAAGACTCAGTTGATCCCACTTGGGAGGAGGTGGTCCAAAAAGGTCCAGTTTGCAGGAAGGCTTCCTGCCGAAAGGCAAAGAACAAACAAGGTTTAGTCTCAGGGAGAAACAAGCACTCAGTAAAATTCTATGTGATCTCAGCTTGACTAGAGGACATAAACTCTAAATGCAAAACTCAGACTAGACTCAGAATGAAACCAGGCTTGGCTAGAGTACCCCAAACTGGCAAACACTCTGGCATCGAAGTAGTGGCAACTAGCAGCTTAAGAGCAGTCCGGTGAGGAGGCAACAGCTGTGTGTGAGGAGGCGAACCGGAGCCAGGCGCCTCCTGGTGGTGGAAGGGAGAAACACAAAAGACAAGACAAACAGACGAACACAAAAACTGGGATCCTGACACTAAGATGAAGTTAAAGTAGTTTTTAAAACAAAGATCATATGAAGAACTTCCAATTTTTTGTTTTTTTCTATGTTAGTCAGTTTGTTGGATGTCTTACAAAACCTTTTTAATTTGAAACTGAGTTCAAATTGCTGTTGGTCTGATATTCCTTAGGTCATGGATACTTTCTTTTAGTCATAGCTTTTTCAGTGCTTTTGGTTTAGTTATTATAGTCTGTCGCAGTATGTCAGTCTTTTCCATTCAGTAAAGATGTTTGTGACTAAATAAATACATTTTTGTATAAGGCAGAGCTCACATACAATTTAGGTCCTTCTGCAAATAGTAAAATGACAACACTGACAAAAATTTATCAATTAAATAATTAATTTGTCTTGTGTCTGACCAGCAAAATGTAAAAGTGTTTTAGTAACCCCCAAGGGGCACATGATACTTAAGTAAGTCCCAAAAGAGAACCAAGAAATGTCTCCATTATTTTTGTTGGGTCCTGAACAGTCATGTTAATAGGTTGAGCCAAAAAATAAACAGCTGCGTTCTGAACTTTCCAGTGTTGTATTTACCCTGATGCTGTTTTCTTCTTTTTTATGTGAGCTAGCTGAACAAAACAAAAGATCATGTTGGAAACATTGTCCACACTTACTTCCAAGTTTGCTTTGTGTTTTTATTTGTCAGCTGATTGTTTATGAGAAAAAATGTAACGCTAACAGTCCTCCTTTTGAGCATAACCTGACTCTTAATCTTGAAAGAAGTCAGTGTTTAGTTTGAGGCTGATCCATCACCAAAATACTTTGAGTCCGATTATCTAAGCTGTCGCCTCTGTTCAGTGTCTACATAAAACTTACAAACTAGACTCTAGTTACTTTACCAATGACAATGACAAACAGTCAAATTAGCTTAAGATGTTATTTTCTTTTTATGCTCTTTGAAGGTGAACATTTTTAAAGCTTAGTTGATAAGTTTCGACTTGGGCAGCGGGCTTCGTTTTTTTTTTATTTTTTTTTTTTTATTTTAAGACTGTCCTGTCTGGCAATGTGGCAATAAGAATAATTGTCTTGATGCCAAAAAGAGCCCAACAGATTTTACTTTCACAGGTGGAGCAGTATGGCTATCGCCATAGTGTTCTGCTTGATTTCTGCATATAAATAGCTTTATTAAAATTATGCAGGGAGTTTTAGAGATTATATGGACACTGCAATGTAGGCAGAACAGGAAAGGAAAAACAGAAAAAAAGGAGAAAAGATGAAAGAAAGAGGACATAAAAGGGAGATAATGATAAACATTTTCAGTCAGCTTCATCACCTGCAAAGAGATGTAAAAAGAACAACCAACAACATGGTACGAGACATACAATAAAGTAACACAGAGATACAGTACTATAGCTGAAGTATAAGTATAAGGTTTGTTTTAATGTTTGATAAATCGTTTATTGACCAATTCATTGGTTAATGAGCCAATCGATCAGCAGAGATCTACAGTTCTTGATTCTAGCTAAATGCTGCCCAAACTAACATTTTTACAAACAATAATCGAAAATTTGTTTTACCAGAAATTAACAAATGAAGCCTTTATAGGTCTATTTCTAGGTAACATTTTACTACTAAACAATACCATTCAATTTTCTTTCGCTTTATCCGGGGCAGGGTCGCAGATTATTAAGATTATATCTTATGAATACAAATGATCTTTTCAAAAAACGAGATAGTTCTTTTGGTCATAATAGTGGTCACTGCTAATAGATTATAGTAGCACCAAGGTTTACATGTTAAAGCTTCGTTTTTTTGGGACCGTATTATTTGGCAGAGTCAAGTCTTCAGTCCTGGAGAGCGAATTTATCTGGAAGTTTTTTTTTGTTTGTTTATTTTTTTCCTGGGTAGTGTGTTGCGGTTTAGAGTAGAGCTGCTTGTCCTCCATGTAGCTAAATGCAACAATTTGAGTTTGTATGTAGAAAAAACTGAAAACTTTTATTTTTCGGGACATGATTATTTTTTTATTATTTCCATGTTATCTCCGTTTGGAGGTTTTATTAGCAGGACCCACTTCTATGGAGGAGAAGACCAAAATCATGTTGGACCTATATGTCCCTTCCTTTCCCCCAGATGAGTAAGGGACAGTTGCTGGTGAAAAGACCAAATTGATAGATTTTTCTTGACTTTTGCCGCTTTTCTTTCTAAAACAAAGAAGTCCACAGAATGACTAAAGTACTATATTTAGACATGTATGCCGAAGTGTTAAAATATCATAGAAATCATCTAAAAAAAAAGAAGAGTTAAGTTGTTGAACATCAGATTAAAAGTGCTTTCCCCTATTGGTCAAAGGTTAGGTTAGGGTTTTCTGATATGTCTTTATGTGGATGCCACACTGAAAACCATAACTCTGTCTACAGTTTAGTGATGGGCCTATCTTCTTAATTTTCAGGACACAGGAGTAAAGTTTTATTTTTCTTAGTTTGAGTTGATATAAAGGAGAACATGTTTCCTACTATTCTTTTTTTAGATCTTGTGTTTTATTCCAAAAACAAGTTTATCTATTTCAAAAGTATTATCTTTTATGCATTTGGGCAAATTAGAGTTTAAGAGGTTTTGAGAGAAATTCTTAGGAAATAATGTGTTTGGGGGGGGTTGGGGCAATAAAACGAAATTAAATTTTAATGTTGCCAGTTTAACAGAGCATCTGCTTCAGTACAAACCCATAACACTGAAGCTTTCCTTTCTTGCTGGGTACAATCGATCTGCCCCATGGGTCTTTCTTAATTAAAGTTCTAACCTTTGTTTGGCTGTAGTTGTTCATTGGATCAATCCTTTCTCTTAAGTTGCTCTTGTAAAAACATTGAGCGCAGGCAGAACAAGAGAGGATATTTCTTCGACTCACCCTGATAGCATGTTATTGCTATTAGAAAAAGCTGTTTTCAAATGTGGAGTCTGGGAAATAGGTGGGCTGTGGTGCAGTTCATCTTCGTCATCCTAACAGTATGTTATTCTCTTATCTTTGTACTTGGAACAGACTATGGCAGAGTACACCTCTTTGCTAAGCGACCTGTCTGAAAACATAACCAACGAGGATCTGGAGCAGCTCAAGTCGGCCTGCAAGGAAGACATCCCCGAGGACCAGAGCAACAACATCACCTCCTCCAAGGAATGGTTCAGCTACCTGGAGAAGAACGACAAGCTTGCCCAAGGTAAAGAAAATAAAAAAGCTTGACTTATAGAATCTCTGTAGTATGAAACTTTTTTTGGCTAATTTATCTTCATCGGCTTAAGTTGAAACTGTACCATTCCCATGCAGATAACCTGTCTTACATTGAGCACATCTTCGAGATTTCTCGGCGGCCGGATCTTCTGACTAGGGTGATAGAGTACCGCACCACTGTGCTCAAGATCTCTGAGGATGACGAGATCGACACCAAGCTAACGCGTATCCCCTCTGCCAAGAAATATAAAGGTAGCACATTTTGTAAGCTTAGACTGACAGGTCAAAGCAGATTTAATTTCTCACAATCTCATAAACTGGTTTCTGTACAATAATTCATTTTTAAATGTATTCCTCTTTTTCTCTTATTCCCTTCATCCCTCAGCATGGAAAAAAATAAATTGATTTAGCAGAGCATGCTGACTGACACCTTTGTCCCAAAAATACAGACAGAGGAAAATTTCTGATACAAGTATGTTTAACATCTAAAACACCTAAAGGTGATCTGGCAAAATCCTGGCCTGAAAATTAGATTTCCAGTCAAAAATAAAGCAATTGGAATATAATGCTCCTGTATCAAAACAAATAAAACACAGAAGCAGGCTGTTACACACCAATGCTAGATGTTGCAGCTGTGTCACAAATATCTAATTGGCATTTATTAGAAATAATGTCTATTTTACCAAGGATTTTATTTATTTAAGCACCTGTTACTCAACTTATAAATAGGTCCAGGCGGACAAAGATGCAATCTACAAAGTATGAGGATTATCAAACTTGGAAACAAAAGATGCAGCAATCTTCCAAATGAGGGCATGGTCTGCCCTCTAGTGGTTAAACATAAACACAGGAAATGTTTGGTTTGGCTGCTCAAATATTTTGTCATCAAACAATATATACGTATATGTCCAAAATCTAAAATATATCAAACTTCACAAGTGAAAATCCAGTTACAGAGGACCTGAATCTTAAAAGCAGATTAAGATTTTAACAAGAAATACATACAGAAATGTGAAAAGCCAGGAATTTAGATTTTGTATTATTTCTTTCAACATTCATTTAAAAATATCAAACCTGTCATTTTCATTTGCAATCATTTTATACCATATTTCATTTCAACTAAAAGATAATCTCACCAAACTGATTGCTGTTATATTTGTCCTAGTAGTCAGTATGAAATAGGTTACTTATTTTACAGACTTTTATAGCTTCAATGACAACTTGTTGTTCAAAGAGGTATGTTCAGTATTATTTCAATAAAGAACTTATACCTGTCTGTTAATGTTACTGTAACCACTTCCAAATAGGTTTTTTTTTTCTTTATTAGATTGTTTAATTTTATTTTGGTGATACGAAGAAGAGTTTGAAGGCTTCCCCCTATAGGTGACATACACAAGTGACTCAAAGTTTAAAACATTTTAAAGATCTTTGTAGCCGTGTCTTTCTTTGGTATATATTAAAAATATTTCTGCTGTGTGAGAGTATTATATTTAAAAGTATTAACTGCAGCATTAAACAGGAGGAAAAAGATTAAAGGAAATGTTTAATAATGTTTATATATTCATAAATTTCTATTTCTGTTTTCCTCTCTCTCTCCAACACCCCCATCTGAAAAACAAAGACATCATCCGCCAGCCGTCTGAAGATGAAATAATCAAGTTGGCACCTCCACCTAAAAAAGCATGAGGTCAATACCCACAGTCTTAATCTTTGCACCTTGAATTCTCCACTTCTGGCACTCAAACCGACCAATCAACCATTTCTCATCAACCCCATTAATTATTCCCACCTCAGCCATCCCCACACCACCTCCAGACACACCTATAACCACACATATACACTCACACCATCCATGCACCCCTTCCACCTTAGGTACCACACTCCATGACAAGGGACCACGCAGGATCGCGGCTATAACTTCGACCTATCAGACCGTAGCGATGCAGCCTTATCCCCAGCTGAGGGGGGATGGGAAGCTGTGTAAAAATAAAGACACTTCAAGATAAAATTTTGAGATGGACCAACGTAGTCTGTGTATGAGGAGAAAACTGAAGTCTATCCTGAATGCTGAGTGGGTCAGTTCTGAATGAGTATGTTTGTGATGTTGTGTGTTCAAGTCACTTTAAGGTTGTCTAAAATGAATCAAAAATGATGTCTACCCATGACCAAGCAGAAGTTACAAACCTTCCCGCTGAGCGAAATAAAATTAAATGGCTAGATTTAATGAAACTCGAATATCAAAATACGTTTGTGGTTATATGCAGTGATACTTAACTTTAAGTAAGGTATTTGTCTTTGCTAAATCAAATTACTTTAAATACAATTTGTCTGTAGCCAAACTCTTAAAACTGTATTTATTGAAAATTCAAGGTTAATATTTCAACACACACTTAAATAACCAAGTTAGTAACCAAGCTTTACAGAACAAAAGACAACCTCCGCATAAGGTTGGATAATAGATTAATTATATGAAAAGTTGTCTTTATTCTTTTCTGTGAAGGTGTTTGTTTTAGCTTGTAGCTAGCTACATAAATATTCAAACGTGTTTTTTGTGATAAGGAAAGTTGCCAAAATACCTAACATGTCTATCACTTAGGCATGACTTAGCGTTAGCGCTTATCGCAGCTAAAGAGTGAGTTGTTATTTTTGTCTCCAAAACTAAGCTAAGCTATCTCCTGCTTAATGAAGCAAAGACTGAAAATCAGTTTCCTAAAACTTTATCCTGACTCCTGCAAATATGCATTTCTCTACAAATTCAACTATTCCTTATAGCTTACTTATCTCCATCAAGTTACTTAAGGCTAAATGCTAATATTAAATTCAATAAAAGGACCACTCTCTCTGTTTCTCTAAAGCTCAATGATCATTCCCTTTATGGTATTATGTTAATATGAGAGGGATTTGTCTTAAGAGGGGCATCCATAAAATCGCCAATATTTGCCTTTAGCTTATGGTAGCTGCAAGAGTTATTTAAAGTAGTTATGTCACTATAGCATTTATTTCTTCACTTGGAAATTAATTTTTAAGGGACCAGTTAGAGTCGATGTTGTTTGTAGGGGCAGATTAGAGATGTAAATAAATAATATATTACAAGAACCTACCGAATTTTAGAACTAATATAATTATCTAAATGTTTTGCTCCCTTGGGCAAATTTAGCAAACTAGCTCTAGCAAGAACTACTGTGCAGTTAGCTTGGCAAAAGAGTGTAAATTAAATGTTACCTAATTCAAAACTATTTATCTATTTTGAAACAAAGCAAGATTGGACCCTGCTTTTCATATATATATATTGGGAGAGTTAGATATAATACGTTGACTTTTCATGTACGTGATCCTTACATGTTTTAAACCTTTTCTGTGCCAATGTGTTTGTTGTTCAGAGGCAAACTGACACGTGTATATCGGAAGGCCATTCCAGGTAAAAACAAAATCCGTTTTATGTGATCATTGATGTTATTTACCAAAACATTCACGTTGTAATATCAATCCCCAATGCACACAAAGGCTCATTATCGGACTATGCCATTTCCAACATGCGCTGACACGAAGACAAGCTAGCAGACTGTTGAATCTTAACTTTTATGACCACTCTTCTGAACACTGTGTATCTTTTTTCCCCACGACAAAGCCTTAGCAGAGTTTGCGTTTACCCCCAAAACATTTTTCACTACTGTGAGCAATTCGGCGTGTGGCAAGCAGAAACAGGCATCAGCACACGCGTTAGGTCAATCAAAGCACTTCTCCATTTTAAAGAGAGTGATGCAACTCTCCTTTTGAGATTTGCTATGGATTTCGGTGTCAGTGAGTACAGAATGTATGTGGTCTATTTCTGCAACCGTCTCTGCTGTCCTCAAAGCTGTATGATTTAAAGCTGAGACATCAAGTGTCTCTCAGTTGTATGACTAGTTATTTACCCGAGCACTGACTCTCTCCTGCTTGTATTCCACTATGCTCCAATTCAACCCTAGTGCCAATGACCGAGACTTTTAGTTGGATCACAGTTTGCGTGGTCTGTTTCGTTTTGCTTTATATAGCTTGACTTGTATTGTATTGCTGGAGAGATTTGTATCCTATGCATTAATGTCTTTGAGAAAAATCTGTCTAGACTGCTATTTTACAGAATGGAGATCTTTGTTTTACGCCAGGGTCTTTAAGATGATCGTGGTTTTTATGTTAAAATAGTATTATTTTTTAAGCATTTGGTTAGCTAATAGGAATTAACAGAGCACACCTTTATGAAGAGGAAGGGGGGAAAAAATCTGGAAACTGGGGTGAAAACAAATCTGTTTTGGAACTGACTGTATATATATATATATATATATATATATATATATATATATATATATATATATATATATATATATATATATATATATATGGTATATCCCACAAAATAAAAATCCCAATGTACATATACTGTATTGGCTGAAACATGACGAATGTGAAAAATTCAACCAAAATATTTTACTTTACTTCTTTACTTTACTACATGGCAGTTGGCTTAAGTATTTACTGTTGATTAACAATTTTAACTTGTTTCAGTTTTGGATCCTCTAGAAATTATATAAAGAAGACCTGGTTTCATATAATATACCACAGAACATGCAGTCACATAAACTGCATGTTCTGTGGTGAGAATATGTAACATGTTGAGTATATAAGTCATCAGATTATTAGTTTTGTATTCTCCCCAGTTTCCATGCTTGTATTTGCTCCACCATATATTAAGTGAAATGGTGGCAGCTCTGCTTTAGATTCAGGCAGTGGCACACAAGGTAAATCCATCTCACAGGAAGGCAACTGTATGTCTGTTATGAACTTTCTATAACAATTATTTCCAGTGTTTCAATGCACGTTGCCTTGGCTAAATGTTTAAATGGCAGTTAACAGGTGTTTTTTTTTTTTTTTTTCCAGAAGTTTGTTAATTCTACAAACCAAAAGACTATTTTTTCTTTGCAGATCTTTGCATGTTTCAGATATTTTAAATGAAATCACTAAAGGAGGTTAAGAGCCAATGGTTTTGTTTTTGTTTGTTTTTTTTTTTCTGTTTAACTTTTTTTTATTATTATTATTCTTAAAGAAGGTATGGAAACGTTGCTTGTGAAATTTGATGTGAGTTTTTGTTTCTCTCTCCAGCCAGAATTCCAATTATCAGTGGAGTAAAGTGTACCTTTTTTCATTACTGATTTCAAACTGAATTCCTGATGAACACTTTGGTTCAAATATTTTTCTTAAATAGTGTCTTCATCAGTTTTTGGCTATGCTAAAGTTTTACTTTTTCCTAAAGCTTACATTAATCAAATTCTGCTTCTCTATGTTGGCTCTCATGAATGGAACAGTCTTTCTGACTTTAACATGACACAGATCAAAATTTTATCGTAGCTTAACTTTTTTCTGTGCAGCCATTGGCACAAAATATAAACATATCAGCCACAGATGATGTCAAATTTGAATTTTCACATACAAAGTACATATCAGCTCAGTTAATGCTGCAGAGGTATAAGCCAATTGTACTTATGGTAAATACATAATAAGTGTGGCAACCATGCATTGATTTATTCAGCATGTGAAGCTAACAATCGACTAAAAATCATTCCAGTATTTTCCCCTTAAAGATGAGTCCCTGTTTTTGTTTTGTTTTTTCTTTTGATTATACTTGGTTGTAAATATGTATTTTGGATATATGTCATGGTGTTTGTTTTTAAATTGATTAATTTATTTAATGCCTATATATTGTTGTTTTGAAATGTCTTGATTTTGTTTTGCTAACTGGAGAAATGTCAAGAGATTCAAATCATGTATACCTTGTATTATCCTTTCATTTTCTTCTTTCATGATTTGCTGTTTCAGCTTTGGGTGATGTTTTTTTTTTTTTTCAAAAGGTTAAAAAAAGAAATAAGTGGTATTCATTTATTTGTATCTTCTGATATGTAACTTTATGTTTAACTGTGTTGTATTTTGATGAGACGTGTTGTGGTCACTGCTTGTATAACAATTTCTTATTCAGAGAGTTTCCAAATCATGACAAAAATAGATGTGGCAAGTTATTACTTTTGTCAATGTAAGTTTGCTATGATAAAGGGGGTTGAAATCTTAATCTTTTAACTGGGAATATATACCATCTAAAACTAGTGCAAGGATACAAATACTGATTTCAATGTAAGTATTTATCTAATAGTTTATAGTAAAAACAAAGCTATATATGCTATTCAGCTAACTAGCCAGGTAATATTTTCTTGCTTTAAACCCCTTTTTTTTTCTAATCCATCAAAAATTATTAACCTTTCATTCATTTTATTTGTATAACTTTTACAGATAACTGGCCCTTTTATTAACACCATTATGTTTTTTGTTTTCCCTACACTGGGCTGTTTCAGGGCTTTGATTAAATTTGCTGTTTTATGATCTGCTGTTAGTGACTAGCTAAAGGGGCTGTAGATGATATCATGAGCTGGTAGCTATTAGAATGATGAAGTGAGTTGTGCATGTAGGGAATAGGAGTTTTGGCAGTTTAAAAAGGAAATAGAAGAGATAGTAGCTGAGAAAAATCTGAAAGAGGATCCTTTTGAATAAGGATGTGTTTTTGGATAATATATGATGCAGCTCCGCGATTCATTTTCTGGGGAGCAATATTGCCTTTGTATGTATTTTTTCACCCAACTCTAACTGCAACACATACAGATCGAAACATTGCAGCCTTGAACAAGGTTTGTCTTTACTTTCTGCAAAGCTGCAGTGCAAAAATACAAAAAGCTTCACTGTTTCAAACAGGATAGTTAAAAGTTTGATTTGTTGACAGAAAAGCGTTTTTCTTTGTTTCATTCTACATCCTAAAACACACATGCTCAACATTTAGCAAGTGTCATGGTGTTTCTGGTTAACAATCTTGGTTTCTGAGTGTTTGTGACAGATTCAGAGGTTTGCTGAAGAGTGTATGTGTTTGGCAATAGACATAAGAGGCTATTTTGAAGTACCGTAATGTATTTTAAGTGCTTTTCATATAAACTTGACAGTGTTAGCCGTACTGCTGCTGGGGGGGTTAACTTGAGGCTTAAAACATTATTGAGGTGGACTTGATGGCAATCATAATATTTTGAATTGTGAGTTTAAGGCTTTTACAGACAGAACCAGTGTTACAGCATTAGGAGTAGTCCCAACAATATAGAAAACACAGAGAAAAATAGGTTTTAGGTAGAGGGAGAGCTTTGTTAAAACTCTCCAATTGAATTCAGTCTGAAGATTTCTCATTCTTGTCTTTTATTCTGTTAACTGCATTGCTCTCTGATGGTGTAGCAAGTGGCAGGTGTGCTTGTGAAACCAAGCATCCTGTCCACTGTGTTAGTTAGGACCTAACACTGCTGAATAAATGTTCTCATGTAAATGTGGTTCTGTTGAAACTTATACACGGTTGATTTGGTTTGAGGCATTAAACCAATCAAATTCTTGCCCCGTACTATTAATACAGATGTACTAGTCTTAGACAGGAAATAGTACTGTTACTGCATTAGTTGTACACGTTCACCCAATATGTGTTAGACGCCATAGGCTCAATGCTGTTACCAATTGTAAGATTTCCCTCTCATAGGGGAAGGAAAGTACTTCACGAACATTTTGCAGTGATTGTAACAGATAAGAAGGAAAAAAAATAATAATAAACATGTTGCTTTTGTCATGATTTATGAGACTAAACTGAAATTATGCCATTTTGTCATTGTGCTAAAATGATATAAATATATATTAAAATATATTTGCTAACCAAAGTTTTGTCGCCTGAATTATTTCAGATGTAGATGAGAATTCGCAGAATGTGAAAATAACTTGAATGATTTCAATGGGAACTGATACAATGGACAGTCAGGAGAGCTGTGAAGTGGGATAGTGGTGAGAAGATCTGCCAAATGAAAATATGAACTCTCTCACTTTTTAAGATCTACATTTTGATGAAAACTAAGTCCTGAAGTAAAACATTTACCACAAAAGGATGCTTCCAGCTTCAATTTCCGAGGTAAGGTGGTGTCGTAAGGCTTTTAACCCCCATTCTAACCCTTAAACTCCTGTACAATAATGACCATTACAGTTAAATAGTTTAAAACTGTTTAATTTAGGATGTGTTTTCAGAATAGATCTTTGTGCCTGAGGTCATTTTCAAGCTATTGTTTGAATTATTTTTTATCATTCATGTATGTGCTTGTTCGCAACCCCGCTTGGGATAATTGGCATGTCAGAAAATGGATGGATGGCATAATATGCTTGATGGATAATATGCTTGTTTAATCCTAACTTTACCTGCCTGTTTCATGTTAAGGCTAATATTTTCCCAAGCACTTCATCTAATTAGGACAGATCAACCTTATTATGTACGTAACAAAGATTTGAAAATAAAATGGGAGCATACAGACAGAGTAGATCATTCTTAATAGAGAGTTGTCAGTTTGCATTTGGATTGTCCTTGATCCAGAACACTGTGTATTTTCTGAATTTGGCTGAAGGCAGTGATGTCTCCTCATTTACGTTATAACAACTCGTATGTTATAATGATGTAAAGATATGGCAGGTTGTTACCCTGGCAACATATATTATGCTACTTTAAATGTTATTCTGGGCTGACTTACTGACTATGTTAGCACAATGGTAAGTGCTGCCATTGTACCCGTGCAACCTATATGGTCTGAGTAAGATTTCAATTCTGTTGAATGTGTTGTAATGTTAAAATGTCATTTAATACATTTACACCATAATATGTTAATTCAAGTGTTTGTTCTGGGTGAGCTCATCCGATAAAATAATCGGTGAGAAAAAACTTGCACAGAGCTTTCCATTTTCACTATAATCTGATTTTTTTTGGATAAGATATAGAAACTTGTTTACCAAGATAACGATTTTTTTATGGGTCTCCAGACACTGTTTGTGCATTCAAAAAATACCGTGAGTATAGAAGTCTGTTGTTCTCTCAGGGACCCTTTAACACCATCAGCTTAGAAGTTCAAACTGACAAAGAAGGGGATAAGGGATATATGATAAATATTCCCTGCTTACTTCAGTGTTGACAGAAAATATTAGAAAAAGCTTCCTGTACTTTTCCCACTAAGTTGCTTCTTAGTAATGATTTATTTCTTACTTAGAGGCCTTACAGCCCAAAAGATTATATAAAAAACTTAAAACAATCTAAGCAATACCCTCTTAACAAGGTTTATGATTTTATTCTTTTGTTGATATACACTCAGACAACACAACAGAGACCTCTGCAAATCATGCCAACTTTTAAAAAGTGACAAAAGTCTTACCCAGTCATCTAA